GTGTATGTTAAGATAATTCGAACACTTGTATCGCCAACAAAGTCTACTGAAAATATTGTTGCATGTCAATGTAAAGTTAAGGAATGCGGTAAGAAGAAAATAAAAAGAAAGAAAGTATTTAACGAAATTGATGCAAGATGCAAAGCAGAGATGGGCACGGTTCGGGTTTTTTGAAAAATGAACCGAATCGAAACCGAAATATCTCGAACCGAATCGAACCGAACTGAAATTTAAAATAAGCTGAGAAATGCATTGAAAAACTGTTTTCGATGGACTCGATTTGTGTTTTCTCGAAACCGAACCGAACCGAAACCGAGGTCGGTTTGAAAAGTTGTGAACCGAACCGTATCCATCTCTGATGCAAAGCTTATCAGCGCAGCCCCTTTGGAGCTACAATGTGGAACTCGCATATTTCATATAAATTGGAAGATAAGTTATAACATACATGGGGAACCCCAATTTTTTTCCCCCACTCTTCTAAAAGCCTCAGTTTTAGTTCAAGTATTCTGTTATAATGCTTAGACATATTTAGGATTATGTGCAACATTTCAGGCTTCTAAATCTTGTACTTTGCTGTAATCTATCATTTTTTTTACGTCAATAAAATGCCATTTTCTATACGCTACAAAACGAGTGACTTATGATAAATGAGAGAACTTGCATTTCATATTTTGAATCCCAAGAAGATTTTATTAGAAAAAAAAGCTATTAGCGCTATCCCTTGCGGGATTAAAAATGTGAAACACGATGTAGCTGTTGTTACCAGTCACACGAATATGGTTTTCTTCGATATACCGTGGGATCCATTTATTCATCATTTGTTACTTAAGTCTCTAGAACTACAACAACCTAGGTCCGATAAAACGGCGTCATAAACGGCCTTAAACGGCATAATAACGATGTAAAACGTCGAAAAACGAAGCCGTAATCCGTCATACCAGATTACGGAAGCAAAACCGGGGAAAAACGATGACCGTTTTCTAGCGATAAAAACGACTCGTAAAACGGTATGACGGATTACGGTGAAATAAGGCCAAAATTAAGGCAATAATTCACCGTTTTATAGCCGTTTCAGACCAAATAAGACGCCGTTTTCGACGGTCGGAATGATCGACCTGGGAAGGAAGCAGTTGATATATTCTTATGAGATCCTAGTCATATATAATCGTAAATCATATATCAAAAGGTCTGTCACGGTCTGTGATGAGTATAGGGTTTCTCTGTCACGGTCTGTGATGGTCTCTGGATTTTCTCTGTCACAGTATGTAGGGGGGCGGGGGGAGGGCTGCAAATTTCTACCCTATATACTTCAACACTCCTTTCAGATCGTGTTTCACAAAAGAAAATATACCAAAAGGTGCAGCGTGAAAGCCTCTTCAATCTACATTGTAAAGCTTATGTTAATTGTGCACTTTTTCTTTCAAAATAAACAGTATTCTGAGTGACCAATTCTGGGCACTGCGAATAGCAGTCAAGAAAATTTTGCTATTTTTTTTGGAAAGGAAAAAGGATATAATAAAAATAAACTGTTGTGTGCAAATTATAGAGCTTATCACACTGCATCTTCCGGTATATTTTGTTTTTGAATAAAACGTGTTTAGGAATCACAATATGAAATGCAAAGTTCTTCTATTTATGATGGGTCATCCGTTAGCAGATTACCTGCACCTGCCATAAAAGAAATGACGAACAACAGCAAAGTACAAGAATTAGAAGTCTAAAATTTTGCACATAGTCCTAAATATGTCTAAGCATTATAACAGAATACTTGAACTGAAACTGAGGCTTTTAGAAGAGCCGGGAGAAAAAACTTTTGGAGTGTCCCATGTATATTTCTTTTGATATGTTAAAATAAATTCATATAAAAGTGTGTTTTCAAGTATTCGTGATAATAATAAGCATCAATACTAAATATTCCTCTATAGCTTACAAGTAAATTGCAAACATCTAGCAGAACAATATAATCATTTTCGTTTATCAATCGTTTAATATCATCATAAATAATTACAATGGCGCTTTTACTAGTGGCGTAACCAGACGAGGACTCGGCCCCCTCTACAAACATTCGAGCCCCCTATAATTTTTTTCTGGTTATGCCTCTAGCTTTTACATGAATTTATTTAAATAAATAAATAAAAAGTACTCAGTAACCTTTCATCTACAACAAAATGCTACAACGAAAAAGTACGCCGTCTTTTTTTCTGATTTTTGACCTTGTTTTACTAAATTAACATACAGTGGAAGCCAGGCGGTGGCAGAACATTTCAAAATTAGATAAGACTCAGTGGAAATTTGTCTGTTATTCTAAGTAAACTTTTTACATATTATCTTGGCATACAACTGAGCGAAGTTCAGGTGAGAAACGATTTCGAACGATTTAATTCTGGTAATGTCATGAAAGATACGTGCTATTTCGCTGTTTTTTTTACAGAAGAATTTCTAAGTCATTGCATAACTTCAAATATTGGCATTAATTTTATGCCTGAAAGAAAGTACTTTTTATGATCAGCGTTTATATAATCATGAAATTCTATTTTGATCAGAAAGAATGTTATCATGATCGCATATGATCCCGGTAGACTCACGATATCGAATATATTCAGAAAATATGTGACTTAGAATTTCAGATGAGTATGAAAATTAATTCTTTTAAGATTATATTTAGTTAATATTTTGTCAAAATGTTAATTATTCAAACTGTATTGTCACTCAATCACATAGAGTCAATGACAATATGATGAAAGAGAGAATTTATCTATTTTATACGATTCCGTGTGAATAAAATAATAGATGGGACTAAGAACCCTAATGACATAGATAACAAATTTCATTGCTATCTTAACCCATTCATGGCGATGTGAGCCACCAGTGGCTCACACTAAAATATGCAGTGGTTAGTCAGCCATAGATAATAGTAAGTCCTCAGAAAATTTCATCATTTAGTTTGTGGAGCTATCTGAACTGATCATTTTGGTAAAAAAATATTTTAAGTTTGACATATAAATGACGGTGCTCGGGTCAAAACATTGAAAACTTCCAACAGCTCTATATGCTAGAACTACAACGTTTTTTTTTCAGTATTTTGACTCGAGGATCGTCAGCTATAAGTCAAACTTAAAATATTTTTTTACCAAAATGATCAGTTCAGATACCTCCACAAAGTCTACTAAATGATGAAACTTTCTAAGAACCATCTGTTTTTATGGCTGACTACTAATAGAAGTACACCAGTTATATGCTTGAAATTTCGAAACTTTCCCTTATTATATGATCTGTTATTATACTATGACTCATCAATTACACTCCTGAAATCCGTTATTGACGGGCTTTCATTCGATATAAAAATGACTTTTATATCTCGTTGCATTTGAGCTGTTTCCTCTCAAAAAAACATTTTTTTGAAACTAGAATCAAATCGCCTCCAATGGGTTAATTTTTGGTTTTCTTCATCTCAATAGATTAATAAAAAAACATGTAAAAAGTTTCAATTTCTTGCCTAACATAGGTTTCGCCAAGCTTAAGAATGTCAGACTTGAGTGTGACCAAACCTTAGAACCGTAATTCAGATGAGGCTGAGCCTAATAGTGCCCAATTCAGGTTAGGCTCAAGTTTATCGAGCCTCTGCATTCCGCCGCCTATGGGAAAAGAGGTGGAGGAGCTCTAAAATTTTGACTTATAACTGTCACTCACTATTTTCCTTCGTCAACTATGTGAGTTTCATAAAATGTGGAAGACGAACAAGTTTTTAGCAATTTTGTTTTAGTTTGTACTTAAAAGAAGATATTCGTAAAAAAAAGTATCACGAGACTTCATTCGCACGAATGAAAAAAATTCTCTATTTTATATTTCTGACTTCAACCGTTGCAGTCTGTTGTTCATAAGACATTTTGTTTAAGCGATTGGTGGCTTTAGAATATTATGAAGAAGTAGATGATTTTGATTGATAAATTGTAGACGATCATCTTCATCGATATCCGCGTTTAGCGTACCACTTTTTAATATTTTTTTTGTAAAGGTCTATTAAATTGCTTATGTTACATGCTTGAACTTACCAGTATTCCTGATGATATCGTAGCTGAAGTGAGTTTTGTTTCATTATTTCAATCAATACATCTTCCGATATTTATAAGACTGTTCATACAATTGGTGATATTATTCGTGGTAATGATGAACATCAAAAATTTTTTGGTTCTTTTGTGAATACAGTTGGTGGACTTCAGGTGTTAGTAAATCTTCAAATATTTTTGATTTAGTATATTGGTTAAGTTTTTTTCTAGACCTTTATTATTCAATATGTTATACATAATGGTGGCTGATAAAAAACAATCATTTCGATTACGAATATCAATACTTTATTGTCTACAATGTTATCTATATAAAAATGATATGGGAAAATCAATGATTGTTCAAACACTTTTACCTCAAACTGAGAATGGTTAAATTTTTCTTCTCAAAAGAAAGAAAAAGCAATTGTTTTGATTTCATTTAGCTAATAATGAATATACTCTAGGCCATTTATTAACAATTGGATATTTAAGTAAAGATATTGTTGCATCATGGTGTTCTGGTATTGCACTTTCACATTTAATTGCTGATAGTCAACAATATAAAGAAGCAATACTTAAAGTGGTATTAGCAATTGATCGATCACACACAGGTGTTAAAACATTAATGGAAATATCAATGGATTTATTACAAAATGTAAATCAAAGAAAATATTTTCTTTTTGCAAATTTAATATTTCTTTTTTTATGATTTTCAATAGTGTTCATGTTCATTTCACACTCGTGTTGCTGTACTCATTTTTCTATGTACATGGTTATCAAATTGTTCATTAGCAGTACAAACATTACTTACAATTGAAAATAGCATTTCATATGTATGTCAAATTTTTAATAAAAAATTCTTCGTTTAAAATTTTCTTCTTAAGCTCATTTCACAAATAGGTAGCGAATCAACTGCAGATGATCGTGAACTTCTTATTCAATCAGTATGTTCATTTACAATAGGTTTATGTTTCATTTTTAATAATAATCAAATATCATTATATTCAAGGTAAGAAAAAAACTATTTTTGTAGGAATTTTATTTGAGTTTTTATTACTTTCTTCTAGTGAATCACTTGAAAGATTAATAAATAAACGAATTGGTATTGATTTATTTCAAGAAAAACTTGAAGTCTTATCAAAATCTGAATTTTACATCGAAGCTTTACAAAAACCACAATTAAAATTATCAGACCCATCTGATATGATACTTGATTATGAATTTGCTCGTTTATATGAAAGTCTTAAAAGTTCAATATCAAATATGTTAACTAGACAATATATAAATGCAACAGCCAGAACACTTATTGTTCCAATATCAACCAATATTTATGAACAAAAAATATCAACAATGATGACACATTATAATAATTTAATTCGACAACGAGTAGAAGAAACAAATATAGACAATGAAAAAGAAAAACAATGGATTCAAGAACATGATATGGATAAAAAGAAAGCTTTAGCTTTAGAACAACAAATACAGAAAATCAAAGATGAAAATCCTATATTTAACAAATGATGTAGACATCATTAATATTAAAAACAAGAATAGGAAAAAACTTATCTTTTTACATTTGTATTTTTCCTGATTAGCATTTGATTTTCATGATGCTAAGAAGAATATGTCAATGACAACGAAACAAATTAGGAAAGATACTAAATATTGTAGTAGGTAAAATTCAAAATTGAATCTTTTTTTGTTTACTAATTCCATTCGTACACATTTATCTTATATGTGCTCAACAACAATATTCGAATTTAACGTGATCGTGTTGTTATGATCTTTGTTAATGATATAAAATCATATTGTTTTATATTTGTCTTATTCTTCTCTTCTCCAGTGTACTTTTTTCTTTTTCTCATCTTTTCTGACATCTAGTCATGTTCTGTACATATATAAAGATGTATGTCTAGTTAGTTGATCTGTATATGTTGTTTGTACTATGTTTTCAAGAATGATAAATATATATAATTATGCTAAATCTTAACAATTGATGCAGGTAAAGTTGACAATAGATTCGCGTTTTTCGGAAAAATATTTTCCTACAGACCAGTGCCAAATGAAGCTCCTCACATTCTATTCAATGGATTTATTTAGTTCATTTTTGTCATGAAAATCGGCTTGAAAATTCAAACAACTACTTTTGAAAGATGATTTTTCATTAAAAAAACGCAGCTCTTCTATCAAATATTTGTTCTAAGAGTTTTGGGCTATTGTCAATACATTTATGGTAGATAGAACTCAATGAAATCTATTGATTGATGTCCAATCCGTTTTTGTATTCAGGAACGTCTTCGTTCACTAGTTAGGCAAAGAGTGATAGGACATGAATTATTGAATCATTCTATGAGCAAATATTGGTTCCAAGAGCTGTGCTAACTGAGAAAGTGCTTGTGCTAGGTAAAGCTCGATGACATCTTTGAGTGATATGGAATACAAACCTATTTATAAAGAAGAATTTCTCTCTTCTTCCAATCATGGATAAGATTGTAATTGTGATCTCTTAAGATGACCTAATATTGATCTATTGTAAAGTTCCATGCTGGTTCAATTTGCAAACTCGCTCCTGATCCGGCCCGATGAAGTTGAACCCTCAATATCACCCTTGCACTCTCACTTTTTAATTTGCTTTTTCAAAAAGAACGGAAAGAAATATGAAAGATTTTAGTATTCCGCCGCTAACAAAATTTCTGCTTCCGGCTAAAACTCCATTTTTTGACTTGAAAGTCTATTCGAATTCATATTGAATTTATTGGAAATACACTCGTTTGGTGCACAGTTTTTCCCTACTGAGACTTATAAAGAGTTCCTTAATACTCGATCAAAATTAATAAATGACAGTGCTCGTTCAGTATGGAATTACGGCACAAAATCTTCATTAATAAGATAATTCTATCTTAATGCTATATAATTTATATTTTCTATGTCTTCAATATATTATTGTATAGAATTAAATTTGAAGATCTGAATGAAGTATTGAGTTTCGGCTCATTAATCCTTTAGTTTCATCATTATGGTACTTATTACGTTATTCTTTAAGAGAGGATCCATGAGTACATCGAGCATCATTCCATACATCGAAGCACTAGTCAAAATTTAGTTTTCTCATTTGATGTTCTCATCTTAATCAACATCATCTAAAATCTCTAAATTCAAATTTTTAGCGCATTTGGATGAACTGGTGAAAAGTTAGCCTGACTCGACTTTTGTGCACCGGCAAGGCAATTTGAAAAAATGATCAATACAAAGTTGAGTTATTTTTAACAACAATAAATTAACAAAATTTTTAGTGTAATATACGAAATGATAGAGCGTGAAAAGCTGAACAAAATGAGGTATTTACATATGGCATGCATTTAATGTAATACCTAAAAATATAGCAATCTGTATCTAAATTATATGAATATTTCCTAACTTAATATAGTAGTATCTATTTCGGTGAAAGAATACTTTTAAAAAAATTGTTTAAGCTAATTTTTTTAATTAAACATCTTTTAAATCAATTAAATTTCTGAATTAAAAAATGTTCTGTCTTTTAATTTAATATATTATCACTTTTAACAAATAACTATCAATCAANTTAGACATATTTAGGATTATGTGCAAAATTTCAGACTTCTAAGTCTTGTACTTTGCTGTAATCTATCATTTCTTTTACGTTAATAAGATGCCATTTTCTATACGCTAAATAACGGGTGAATTGTAATAAATGACAGAACTTTGCATTTCATATTTTAATCACCCAAAAAGATTTTATTAAAAAAAAGAAAATATATCAAAAGATGCAGCGTGAAAAGCTCTACCATCTACACTGTAAAGCTTATGTTAATTGTGCACTTTTTCTTTCAAAATAAACAATATTCTGAATGACCAATTCTCGACGCTGCGAAAAGTAGTCCAGAAAATTTTGTTATTGTTTTTGGAAAGAAAAAGGATATAACTAAAATAAATTGTTGTTTGCAAATTGTAGAGTTTTTCACGCTGGAGCTTGTGGTGTATTTTTTTTTAAATAAAACATATCAGGTTACGAATAAGAAAAAAAACGCGTTCGTTGCATACAAAAAAAAACACTTTTTTGCAACATCGAAATTTGATCGTTCAGAATTTTATCGATTTTCAAAATAATAAATACAACTGTAAAATAAGCTGTCTTATGTAAATTGTGAAGCTTTTCACGCTGCATCTTATGGTATGTTTTGTTTTTTGTTTAATAGAAGATATCAGGTAAAGCAAAGATGAAATAAAAAAAAACGAATTCGTCTATCATCGAAAAAATATTGTTTTCGCAGCGTCGAAATTTCTTTGCTCAGAACTTTGTCGATTTTTTATCAGAGAAAATGCAACTGTAAAATTAGTTGTCCGTTGTGAATTATAGAGCTTTTCACGCTGCATCTTCTGATATATTTTGTTTTTTTAATAAAACGTATTTAGGAATTACAATATGAAATACAAAGTTCTCCTATTTATGATGAGTCATCCGTTAGCAGATTGCATGCACCTGCCATAAAAGAAATGACGAACCACAGCAAAGTACAAGACTTAGAAGTCTGAAATTTTACACATAGTCCTAAATATGTCTAAGCATTATAACAGAATACTTAAACTCAAACTGAGGCTTTTAGAAGAATCGGAGGAAAAATCTTTTGGAGTGCCCCATGTATATTCAATATGATACAAAAAGAATTAATTTATTTTTAAAATACCTTAAAAACTATGAAGATGAGAGTGTTTCTCAATTTAAAATAAATGTGGAAGTATTGACCGTGAGAGATATAGTCACGAAATCAAAGTCTACAATAGCAGTATCTCATTCATATTTCACATTTCAATCAAACAGGGATTGTATTAAGAGCGTTTTTTATCCTATAAAAAAATAAGATTACCTTGTACATCATCATCAATAACATCCTCTTTAATTGTAATTTTCGATACATTTGGTTGGTCATTATCATTGTGATTATCTTGCATAGGTTCTTCTTCTTCATCATCCGTTTCATTTTCTCCAGTATTATCATCATCATATTCTTTTTTATCATTTTTATTCGATTTTTCTTTGTCTATATTAGCTTCATCATTAATTGGTTCATCATCATCATTTCCTACTATTTCTTGTTAATCATCTTTATCATTTGAATCATTAATTGTTATTTTATCACAAATATGAGTTGATCTCAAAAGAACACTTGTCGTTAATTCTTTACATTTTTTATTAATTGAACGACATAAACGTGAAATAAAATATGTTTCAAATGAACATATTATTTCATTTAATTGTTTTTTTTCCATATTTTTCATCAAAATAAAATTCAATATTATATGTACATTTATAATCATTTAATATTAATGTAAGTTTTTCATGAATATTTAAATTTGTTAATACTTGAGAAAATAAAAGGCGAGATCAACGACGTTGTAAACGTTTTGCTTTACTTAATGCTAATGAACTACGTAAGATAAGAACTTGTATTGTTGGTGTTTTAACATTTATAGATGCAACTATAAGTAACTTACGAAGACGTGGAACGCCTAATGTTGCATTCATTTCACCACGACTGGCAAAGTGAAAAGCTAAAATAGAAAAAAAAATATGTTAAATAGAACGGATAACAAGGAAGGAGCGTATCTAGAATTCTCCGATTTTTGAAATCCATCAAGATACTCGTTTTCTTCGTCAATTTCAGATCATAGTGGACTTCGGTACACACCGATAAATCTGTTTTAGGATTCTTGACTGATTTACTTGTGTTAATAGGCATCTTTTTTTTTTTTACTGAAATATCAACTGAAGTTTGATTCAAATCAGATAGTTCTATAACGACCGATTAAGTTAGTTTATCACTTATTTAGCTTCTGATAATCCAATTTCATGGTATTCACTATCTCTTTGAGTAGACTCTCTCAGATCATTAAGCT